ATGCAGAGTTTCAACAACTTGCAGTCAGAAGAATACATTTTCCACTTTTTCTTCAGAAAGAGATTATTTACCAATAACCAAGAGTTATTTACCAATGAAATCAGCTCTAAATAAATTCCTCTTAAATTAATATACCCCCACAAATTAATATTCTGGTCTGAGAACTTAAAATATTATATTTAAAACCGAGTCTCTATATTAATCCTGAGCCTCTTACATCAGGTGCAACATTGCATTCCCTTGCAATCCTAAGCACTGCTGCAAGGGGTAAGCTCCACTGAGCTTCATGAGCAAATATGACAGCTTGGAGTACAAATATTCCTTTGAGAGAAAGGAAAAAGAGAGAAGCAGAGGTGTGCAGTGGGGGGAAACAGAAGAAAAAATAAGCATGGAAGTTGGAGGAAAGAAGGGGAGGAGAGCAGCCCAGAAACAGAAATCCACACAGAGAAAAAATATTTAGAACTAAAACAGACCTAGGATACTTGTGGGCCACTGCCTCTCTGGTTATGTATTTCACACAGCCCAAGGCACACGTTAAACTCTCATCTGTCTGTCACTCTCCTCACTTGCTTCCTCTCTCTCCCTCCCCCCACCCCTTCTCTCTGTCTTAGAGTAACCAAAGCAGAGAGAAGGAGGCTGCTGGCTGAGGCGTTTACTGCTGCTGGTGCTGCCTTAGTGTTCAAAAGTGCCCAAAAGTAAATTAAAAGGCTCAGGTATTTTGTCCACAAGCTGCTGCTGGACATGAAGAATGAAGGACGGTTCTGTTCTGAGCAAGCCCAACAAGTTGTTATTGCTGCTTAAAAATTACAGGCAGTGTTTGACGAGGGACATCTAATTTCCCACCTATTTCTCTGGCTCTTCCTCCTGTCCCCCCGCATTGCCTGCTACTTTTGGAAAGAGTCCCTGTTGCTACCATATTTCACATCGAGGCAGTTCAGTTTTCTCCACTGCCCTGTCCTGCCAGCCTCAGAGAGCCAGCCATACTGTGCCTAGTAGAAGAAAGGAGCATGCCCAAATTTACTCTTCTTTGCATGCAAATTAGTGCCCACACAGACAAATTGGATCGCTAATCTGCTCCACTGGAATGACAGTGATTTTAATTTTTTGCAGATTGCTGGGGGCAGACACAGTCAGTGGAGCTCCACTCTCATGCACCAGCAGATTATTGTACTTGCTAGGGACAGACGTCAGCACCAAAGTCCAGGGCCTGCCCAGAGAGCTGCAGATGATGGGACAGTGACACAAAAGTGGTATCAGCACCAGGGCAAGCATGGGTCATCATTACAACAGTGGTGCTTATTTCCAAATGGCCTTCATGATCACATCAGCAGAAATAAAATCCATTTTATTCCTGGGATGATTCTGTCTTGATTTAAGTAAATAAAAGTGTGAAATTGTTCGTGCTTTGAGTATTCCCTTTGAGTAGGGTTGTAAAATTGTTTGTTTTGCTCTGGAGAAGTCTAGCATATACAGAAACAGATCTGTGATTGGGCGGGGGGGGGGGGCAGGAACCACAGAAAATTCAAGTTATTTTTTGCACGTTGCAACTGAAGTGATTCATATGGCATCCTAAAAGTCTCCCTGAAAAGGCCAGTCAGCCCAAAGCCTAGCATCCCCTGCTGTACATCTGGTCACATGTCTTCTTTGGAGGGGAGGGAAAATGCTCAATTCTTAACTTGCATTTCCCACGCCATTGCTCAATCAGCTTGTGGCACCTGTACAATCCAGTAAGTGTGGATAAGCTGGACACTGAGCAAGTACAGATTGTACAACTTTCTTTAATGCTGCATAGATCCTCTCAGTTTACTAATATTCCAATGAGACCATATGCATATTCATACACTTGAATTTCATAATGCCTTTCCTAGAATCTGGGATTCTTAGATCTGATTCCATGACAAGCAGGGCTTTCACATGTCTCAAGAGCTCAAAGGCATAAGTTAAGTATTCACAATGCTGCAGTCATATGGAAAGAAGCTGCTATTGGAATCCCCCCTTTTACCTTGTAAACAGAATCTGGAAAATAAGACATCTTGAAAACTGCTTACAGATGACATGCCTCTTATGGGCTTTACTGGAAACCACCAATGAGAGGCCAACTTTGAACTCAGCCAAATTGCCATGTTAACTCTTGGGATGTACTCACTGCAAGTTTACCATGGGACGCTGCCTTACACAGTCCAAGTATTGGTTCATCCAAGCTGATATGGTCTATTCCATCTGGCAACTTTCCAATGACCTAGGCAGCAGTTGCTCTCACTTAAGACCTTTTTATTAGGGCTTCTAAGAAATGAACCTGGACTGTACCACTGATCTCTTGCTTTGCCTTCCTCACTAATCTCCTGTCTTAGTACGTGACACGAAAAGACTCAGGTTTTGGTAGCTATTAACTCAACCTGAAAAAGTGAACAAAGGATCCTTTCCTCCACCTTAAAAAAGAAATTCAATGTTTGTCCTTTTAAAGAGTAACAAAACCATAGCTCTGTTGGTGATATGCCCAATATGGTACATTCCTAGGAAAGAACGTAACATGATGTAGTGAGTGTTTCCATCTTTTTGGAAAAGTTGAAATATTTGGAAGTTAAAGCTAAGATGCACATAGGAATGATTTATTGCTATTGTGGAAAAAAGGAACTGGCTTCCTAGCTTTTGAAGCATAGTCTTTTGTGTCTTTGTGGGTCACATGGAGACAGCACAAGCGCTGGAATCTGTAATGTTTTGTTTTTTCGCTCTATACAAAGAATCTGTTTCTGTTTGTGAGATAATCTTCAAAATATGACAGTCCCAAGAATGTGACCATATAGGTGAAGAGAAGAGAAAATTCATGTCAGGGGGGTTAACAGGGCTAACCGTTAACATAACTAGGCTGGCTTGAACTTACTTCAGAAAACTTCAAAATGCAGTAACAGCCTAGAGTCCTATCTAGACTTTAAAAAGAAAAAGGAAAAAAGCTCCATGTCCATTTTCATGACATGGACAAGTATCCCATGCCAGATGCACTTTTTGTGACTTAGAATGGCAGAATAAACACAGGAATGCTGGAACAGCTTTGTTTTCTCCAACTTAATGGCAGGCAGCAATGAGAAAAGCTAAGGGTCTGTGGCTCATTTGAAGAAAGAGAGCTGCTAAAAAAGGAAGGAGGATAGTAAAGGTTTTTCTAGTGAGAGATGACATAGTTCTTGCGGTAGAATAATAAGGTTCTATTATTCTAAATGTGCTGAATTGTTGCTAACTGAGGCGGCACACGGTGCTGCAATTCCTCTTACTGATGCCTTCTTATCACCCTGGTGTGGGCCTCTCTTTCCCAGCATCTTCCTGATGCTGCGATTACGTGGAAGCATAGCTTGCCCTTTAAAGCATCAGATGAGAGGGTGGCATACAACTGAACATACAAGGGAGGTGGGAAGGTTTCTTCCCTGCAGCTGAGCTATGTTTTCTCCACCTTTGGTTTCCTTCTTGTGCTAACACATGCACATGGCTCAAGAGAGAACGATTCCCCTCACCTCTAGTGTTTTAAGGAGGTTGTTTTGCAGTATTTCTTTGTTCTTTTTTAAGGGCCTGCATGCAGTATCTAATAAATTGCTCCTGCCAATAGAACGGCTTCCATCAGCAGAACAAAAGTGGGGCTATTCCCCCTTTCCTTCCAGCCCTTCCCGCACACACAAAATCTGCTCTAGCCTGGGGACCATCGGAGCTGATTGGTGAGCCAAGGAAGGGGAGGGAGGGGAAAATCCCATTGTGGGAGCATATTTCTGTTTGTGTGGCATAGTCCATTTTTTAAGCTTCTTGCCACAACACGTGCCATTCCTCTGTTCCTCCCCACACATTTTCCCCTCTACTCTGAGGGTGGGGACTGTGGAGAGAAGGCTTTACGAGAGACCGTGGCCCAGCCTATCAGCATTGGGTTTAGCGCTGCTCAAAGAAGGGAGGCCACTGCTTCACAATTTGCTCAGGTCAGGCAGCATTGCGCAAATCCAGCTTCTGTCCGAACAAGAAAACCAGGTGCCCCCCAGGCTCCCTCTGGGGAAAGCAGCATGCACATCATTTGGGTATTTTTTCCAGCTGAAGCAGCTTCAAAGGAGAGTGTCCAACCTTCATGAAGTTACAAGGAAGTTATACAGGTTGCAGAAACATATTTTTCCCTTCTTGATTTTGGGAAACATAGTGAACCATTGGACTGACTTTTGGTTGAAAAAAACTTTAAACTGCAAATTTATAATACAATCTTTTCTTTATGATTCTGGATAGGTATATAATGATGATGATGATGATGATGATGATGATGTATTACTCCACAAATAACAATGCACTCATACATGTAACTATTCAAAATAGGCCAGGGCTGAACCATATAATTAAAAACAAGTTCTAGGTCTAAAATATGGCTCAAATTATGACCTTCTTCAGAAGCAGAAAAGAGGATTGTATTTCTTTTGCAAGTTTTTTTTTTTTATATTCGATTGAAGTTTTGCAAAACATCTTGAAGTATCTCTTGAGAATAGAAGTAATATACATTCTAAGCCAGGAATGCCTTGTTACTGACATCCACCCACAACTGGGGACTATTCCATGGAGCATTGTTAATGTTTAACATTTGCACTTGGCTACAGGAGGCTGCATTATGCAAGGCTTCAGTCTCAGCACATTCTCTCCCTTTACACTGTTAGTGTACATTTCCAGAAATGAAATAGAGGAGAATATATGACAGGTACAATGACTTGGTTCCATTGTTTAAAGTCTGTTGAACGTTTTCACGGACAGACAGATCCCTTTAATACCTAATAATCGAATACTGGCTATCTCTGCATAAGTAACCCAAGTGGCACCCTTTGCAGGCACCAACCAGTCTTAGGCCAGCTTTAAATTCAAATGATTGTGTCATCATGTGGTTTCTGGCTGTGTCTTGAGCCTAGAAAAGAACTGTATGAGCCATTTGGCTAATAACTAACACAAAATATTAACCTCTAACTTCCTTTTCATTATCGATCATTTGGGCTTACCTGTGAATAGCAGCTCCACAAATGCTGGAAATGGAGGCATAAACAACATTTCCATAGACAAAGAAGTGCGATATAGGACAATTTGGTGGGCAGAGGACATCCACCTTATTCTTTCTGAGATCAAGTCCCCTTGTAAAGCATGTAATGGAGGTAGGGGCTGTAGAAGCAAAGAAAGAAATTACATATGAATTGTGCATGTTTCATAGAAAAGCAGTATGCCTTTTTGCAAGACAGTCTAACCCTAACCTTAACCACCGGTAATAAACCATTGAATTAAAAATTAAATATAATTTAACTGCAATATATGTCTAACAGGGCTCTGGCTTCACTAACCTCATGTATAAAGTACAGATAATAAAATGCAGCCCAATTCTTTGCAATTCATTCTTGTGGGATTTAGCAATTGTATGCCTCCTCCTAGTTTAAAAACAGAGCATCTGTTTGCCTTTTTTGGTGATCATACATAATTATTTTGGTGACTATGCATACATAATCCACATCAAAGAATTAGTTAATGCTCATGATCCAGAAGTGCAGGGTAAAATGTGTACCAGTATTGTTCACTTCAGTGTATCACAGTCTTTGGAGTTAGACTGTTCTTGCAATGAGAAGCACTGGGTGTTCAGTTTGATGCTAATTTGTCATTTTAACCTCATAGCTGGGCATTACTGAGGTCTTAGTAGTCATTTAATCTTCACAAAAACTCATGGGTCTTTGGCACTGTTTGCAGCCAGGATTTTCAAAGTTTCTGACAAGTCCTTGGCTGGATATTCTTTTTAAAAAACTAAATCTGTCATGTGTTTGCAGTCTATTGAAAATGTAGTAGATCAGTTAATTTTCACTGAAACTCTGGAATTCACATTAGCCCTTCATGGAATGAATCACATCGGTTCCTCAAATGCTAATGAAGCAAATATGTTAGGGAAGATGCTGCAGTTCCAAAATGGGGCTATATTTATCCAACGTGTGCAGAATAGCTGTGTTTTTGATTGCAAAATCAGTGCAAGGTCAGGTGATGTCTCATGGTTTCAGTTACTTCGTGGCTTTTGATTCCTCATTAGTTATGTGATGGCATACCAAACCTAGGACTGGGTTATATATGGTCTAGCCCATTTGTTCTTCAATATTTCCATTTGTTTCCTTTGATTTTAGCAAAATACTTTCTGCTTTTAATTAAATAACTTCAAACTTGTTAGCCTTCAGTTAATGTCAATAGTATTTTTTCTAACAAAGCATTGTTTCACCCACTCCAGTGATCTGGTGTTTGTCAAATGGTTACCAATTTCCATCAAGTTATTCAAGTAAAAAACTAATGTTTGGACAATGGGAATGATATATTTTGTTTAGAATAAAAATTACCACTTTTAAATATGCATTTAAATATGCATAAGTTATAATCTGAGTATTCACTGTTCAATATCTTGCAAAAACTTGGTGTAGGAAGAAGGAGCTCATTAGTAAACTTACGAGATTAATTTAAAAATCCATATAAAAATGGGTACATTTCAGGACCAAATAAAAGAAATTCAGCACTCCATTCATTTTAATTTACAATATGTGCATGTTTCCCTTCCTTCTCATCTGTGTGGGAACAAATGAAACTACTAAGCATTATTTGAAGAAATCATGTCACTCTTTGAAGCTTCGGGAAGGAAGCTCAAGAACTTTGGGGTCCAGATAGAAAAGCAAGACTATAAATCATATGGTCTTTCATCTCTATATACTAATGACCAGAGTATGCAAAACAAGCAGCACAAACCTGAACTCTTAACTGGAGGACTAAAATGACTGGATAGGCAAAAGAGAAATTTAGTGGGAAGACTCATGCCTGGAACTCAGCAACTGAAGGGTATAACTTGCTCAAGAAGAACAGAAGGATCAGAAAGGGAGGTGGAATAGTATTATAAAAATAATACTATTATTATTAATAATAGTAAATAATAATAGTATCTATTAAAAACAGATCTTTCTCTATAGACATACAGAAGGATGAGCAAACAAGTGCCCATGCCTTACTTGAATTCTTTATTCTAAAGGAAGCAAAAGCCAAGTGTAGCCAAATACATATTCTGGATTTTAGAAAAGCTGATTTGATAAACTCAGAACAATGATAAGCAAGGTCTCATGGCAAGCAACGCTAATGAGAGGAGACCAAGGTGGATGGGAAATTTAAAAAAAAAATCTATCAGCACAATTGCAACAACATTTACAAAAAAGTAAATGCTAATCACATGAAGTCCTTAAAGTCGGAATACTGCATTGAACAGGGGTGTGAATGCAACAGCGTTAGGCTCATTCCAACTTCCATTCCTTATTGACCCATTTTATGATTCCTTTCATGGAATGTTTATAAAATAGAGTTACGTTGTTGTAAACTAGTAATTGAATATTGAATAATTAATTTAAAATAATTTGTTAATCTATTTTCGTGCACTGTTCTCTGTTTTGAAATAAAGGATACAAATGCAACTTTTCTAAAGTCTATATTCTTCCAAATAGCATAGAAATATTTCACATTAGAATAAAGCATTGGCCAAAAGCACAATTTATTGTATTTTCTTTCCAATTAAAAAAAAGATGCATAGAAAGTCCTTCTAGAAGGGTAGAATGACATTTCTTCAGTATTTAACCTATAAAAGAAAAATCAAACATGTATAAACTGGATGAAATTTTTCTTGTACGGCATTTGTGAATTATTACCTTGATCTGAGGTGGTAACATACAGAATAAATGTAAAAGGATCTGTTTCAGGAATGATATATTTTCATTTAGCTCTTGGAACTACATGTGCAATTCTGATACTTGATTGGAAGTCCTATTCAGAGGGATCAAGGGATAATCTGCACAACCGTTTTAACAACACCAGAAAGCTGCTGAACAGCCAAGGATGTGCAGATGTGTATAGAGCTAGACAAAAGAAGCTAACTGCTACATACCTAAATATAGATGAAAATTACTAAACTTATCTTTCAAAAGTAATTTATTTGCTATTGTGCTATATCTTAATTGGACATTAAAATTAAAAGAAACCCACTTTTTGTCCTGTGTCCTTCTGCCCCTATGCTATACTTCAGGCTTCATATGTTCTAGGATCATTCTGTACCTCATCATAGAGACAGCTCTGACTGATCACTCATGGTTTACTGCTATGCATAAATATACATAATCTCACAAAGTATTATTTACAAATTTAAAAAAATCTAAAAGTAGTTCAAATTTTCATCCTGTTAGTTTTGAGTATGCTCCCTAGATAATTCAGAAAGGTTTTTATTTTGCTGGCCTTTTGGCTTAATTACGTAAATGTTTCAAGGCAATGGTCAAGAAGTCATTTCAGATATCTATGCTCCTGCCATTATTCTGAAATAAAGTACAAAGTGTCAAGCTTCAGCCTCTGGATATGCGGGTAGACACAATGGCATATGTTTACTCAGAAGTAAGCCCCACTGTTTTCAATGTGACTTACCTAAGGGGAACCCTTGCTGAACTTAATAGACTTATTCAAAAAGGACTGCTGTGTAAAATGCCTGTTCCAGAACACAACAAAAATATGGCATGGGACACAGGACTAAATGTGGAACTCTTTTGATAACAGTTTCCAAAGAAGTCAATGAAGAAATAACAAATTGAATGCTTTGATACAAAGTGTTCAGTTATATTTAAGAATACTAAGATGGTACTGATATTGCAAATAATTATTTGATTATTATAGGACTTCTTTTCCAATCAAAAATTCCATAGTTGGTACCTCTTTGGACTTCAGTTGTACTTCTTCAAAAGAAAATAGTCTCTAGTTTACAGTTTTCCTTTGATATGTGCAGTACAAGAAACTTTTGTGATTGTTCTTGCTTCCTTTAAGTGTTTCCTAATTCCAGCATATGACAACCTTCCAATGTTCAACGGATAAATTCCTATATTTTACATTTAAAAGCAACAAAGACTTCACTCACCATTTTGGAAGGGGCTCCATGTTCACTTTCAAGTGTAGGATGGAATTTAGAAATTCAGACAACTCTTTACCTTCATTTCTCTTCCACTGAATGATATTGAGAAATTCTTCACTGGACTCATGATCCTTAACCAAAATTAGTTTGGTTTCTTCACTGTTCGGTTCATTTATTCATTTTATCTTTTGGCTGAACAGTGTTGTTTTAGGAAGGTTGTAGTTTATTAAGTGACCCTGTTCTTAAATATAGAATTCAATTTCTTAGAGATATAATTATGTAATGAATGTCTACTCTGGCAGGTGATCCAATAATGTTGACATTCAATCCGGAATACCTGTGTTCTTTATGCATTGTTTCTTGCAGCCATAAAGTGTTCAAACATTATAAACATCGAGTCTATTCAGTTACTCTGGAGCATGAAAAGGTGTATCTAGTTTTGTTAAGAATTTGGCTCAACCCATCACTGGTGTTAAGAAGTAGAAACAAGTCCCAAACTAGAATCCATGAGATGCTTAACATATTCCTACCATAGTTTTTGCAGCAATACAATTGTGTGCTTTTATCTATATACGCCAAGTAGCTCTTAGTTAAACCATCAATTAGCACCCCAAATTATGGGGTTTTTTTTACAACAAAAAATGAGACAAAATGATTTTCCCTTTGCTGTAAAAGCAGCAAAAAGCCTACCACATTTGTATGCACACTGAAAAGGCAATTCAAAGGCCAGCTACTGACAAAAGTTTTATTGCACTTTTGAGTTTTACTGCACAGTGATTGTCTATTAAACCAAAATTTCTGGAGTACGCATCTTTCAGCTACAAACACATCTCTTTCAAAGCCACAAATACAACACTTCTGACACATGATACTAGAGCTGCACAGAAGAACAAAGTGCACCCAACAGGACTAACAGGGAAAACAAGAATACAGACTAGTACTCAGAAAACAAAAACATTTGATAACTAATATTTGCTAATGTTCATCAACAGAATTAGACAAATAATTCAGATGAAATATTAACTAAGGGTATAGGATAGAAAAAGTCCTACAATTCCCAGCATTCCCCAGCCAGTTATGCTGCTGAGTGAATTACGGTAGCAACTGGAATAAGATGCTGGAAATACTCGTTTCATTTTTTGGAACATAGATGCTTTCGGCACCCCTAAACTTGCACACCAGATTTCTGCAACTTAGGCAAGTCAGAAGCAATTCTCTGGGCTTTTACAAAGCACGGAAAAGTGCAATACATGACTATTTTTCCAGATTTTCTTTTGATCTTAAAGAAATCCTTCTGCAATGTTATACATCAGCTTTCCCCAACCATGTACCCTCCAGGTGTGTGGGACAACAACTCTCAACATTTCTGTCAACTCTCCTTGCTTGCTGATTTGATGGGAATTGATGTCCGAAACATGTGGAAGGCACCAGGGTGGGAAAGGCTGCTATGCAGGCTCCCAGCTCCAGGAAACGTCAGCCCTTCATTTGGTCTTATGATGAATGCATTCTGCTTCAGACACAGCAGATATTGGTCAAATCGATATCACTTAATGAGAAGCACCATTAAATTACCTTTGCCCATCAGCTTAAAAAAAAAGAATGTCCATTAGGATTTGTTCATATAAGGAAGTTACTACAGCAAGACACACACCTGCTTTGAGAATAATTGATTCAATAGCATCCATCTTAGCATTATTGTAGAAGGACACTAAATATAAGGGTAACAGGTATTCCGGAAATTTCAGTAATTAATAGTAAACCAAGGCACTTTCCTTGGAGATGGATATATATATATATATATATATATATATATATATATATATATAACACACAGTAAGAATGGTCAGGTTGCACATTCATCCCAACTATTCAAAGTCCTGCAAACTTCTTCCCAAACAGGAGATGGGGTAAAAGGAAAGAATTACAGTGGATGAAGGAGATTTTCTGAACTCACCCGAGCTCTCGCTGGCTTTCCCAGTACTGGTCAGAAAGACAATACCTGCAATCAGAGATGGGGAATGGGTTCACACGTTCCTCAGAAGAAAAGCAGGCTTTGCACTAAGGCTACCCACAGGACAGGGTGGCTTGCCGTAAAGCCCCCCACCCGTTACCATTGTGTCATTCCTAAGGGGGTCGTGTGCCTCTTTGCATGTTATGCGACACCGCGGGGGTTAAATACCCACCTAGGAGGAGCAGGACAGGAGCCATGTTGGCTGCACCTAGAAAGGGAGGAGAGAGTCTGTCAGCCACGGCAGGGTTAATCGGGGGACGTGCTCCCCCCTCCCCAAGCTGCAAGAGGCAGCGCGGGGGAGATGCAATACCTTCGCGCGAGGGGCTTCTCTGGCTGCGGGTGGGCAGGGCTCACTCTCGCCTGCGAGGGCCGGGAGGGGGCCAGGCTGCGCGCGGGCGGGCGGGAGGGGAAGCGTCGCCCCTCTGCGCGAGAAGTGCCAGGGAGAGGAGCCCGCGGAAAGGGGGTCCTTATGGGGGCCCCTCTTCGGCGCAGCACGGAGACGCCGCGGGTGCGGGCAGGGAGCAGGACGGGCGCAGAGCGGGCGATGCTGAGGAGGAGCCGAGGCCGCCAGTGCCGCGCGCCGAAGGCACTGCGCGCCCCGGCTTTAAATCCTGCCCAGGCGCATGAGCAGCACTGGGCAGGCACTGGCTGCCTGGGTGGCCGGGAAGGCGGCTGCCCGTAGGGGAGGGAGGGCGCGCAGCAGCCCGGGCGGGCTGGCGCCCTTGGCAGCGGCCGCCTCTGAGCGCAGCGGCTGCTGCGGGCGATGCCTCCGGGGCCAGCAGGTGCGCTCCGCGCCGACGCCCTCTCCCGCGCGGGCCGAGGCGCGGGCAGCTCCCCTGGCGCCGGGAGGCGCATTTCTCCTCGGGAGCCCCCCCCCGCTCCCCCTCGTCGCTCCCCCCTCCCGCAGGTATTGAACGAAACCGAGCCCCCAGTTGCTTGCTTGTGGCTGGCCCTCCGGCACCCATTTGTGAAACGCACGCAGCGCCTTTGGAGAAAGCGGCGCCCTGGCACGTGCCCGCGCGCTAGGCGTGTTCGGGCGGCGCGGGACCAGGCGAAACGGGTCCCGAGGCCTTCAGGTGGCGCTCCGAGGACCCCTTTCCTCCCCGTGAACACCTGAGGCTGCTGCGGACGGAGCCAGAACTGAGCCGTCATGGCTGTCGCATTTGGCGCCGACTCTCCAAGGTCTTAGGCAGAGGTTTCTCCAGCCCGGAGGCGGAACCTGGAACCTCAGGTGGCGTCTTCCTCGCGTCCCGCAGAAGACAAGCGGGAGCGCGGGAGTCGCCCCACGACCAGCTCACCTCCGTACTCACCCTCCTAGCATTTTATTCACATCCTGCCTTTCTGGCAAAAAACGGCCTCGAGGCAGCTACAGTGATAAAATATAGATTTCAAACAAAAACAAAATTGTAATTAAACCAAACGTAAAACCGATTGCTTAAAATAAAATAAAAAATAGACAGCACCCAACCAATTAAAATCCCTCCACATCCCTTTCCTAAGGGGCAGATGTGGAATACCTCTTCAGAAGTTCATGTGGAATACATGTATGTTGACCATGTACCGGGATGGCTTGGAGATCAGCCCGAATCAGTCTGCTTTTCTGGCTAGAGGTGTTTAGAAGCATATGTTACATGCGTTTTATGCAATGTACAATGAAAACTTTTCTTAAAATCTAAAGAACAAAACCATATAATGCAAAGTTTGAGCAGCATTAAAATTAAATTTTAATTCCAAAAAAAGGCCTGATGGAACACTGCAGTTTTTACAACTGTCTAAAGCACAACAAGAAGGGACCAAAACCCACTTTCCTTGGGTGGAAATTTCACTATTAGAGTGATGCTGTTGAAAGGCCCTGTCTTGAGAATCTGCCAAGCTAGTATTTCTAGGCTGTGGGACTTATAACAAGGACCGGGATTGCTTTTGCTTCAATGGCCAGCAACTAGATAGCCAAGAGGGCTTCTCTTCTGGAGCAATTGGATTTTTCAGGTTCACACTTCTTTCTTCCCACTGGGCAACCAATGAAGGAAATACTGAGATATAGTATTGCCGGTTAAGTCAGTGTAAGTGGAAACGTATTAGCTGATGGAAAACTTGGAGGACAGTCTAGGGCACTGAAGCCTGGAATGGTTGGCCATGTGTCGCGATGCCAGAGATAAGACAGTTTCTATAATTATGTTCTTGAACTCAGTGTAATTTCATGTTCTGAGTGGATGTGACTTTTTATGTGTTTCTAAGGACATGGGCACAATACATATTGCTAGTAGGTGGGGAAAACCTGCAGTGGAGTGATGGTCACATCTATTGCCCTAATGTCTGCTCTGGGGCAGGACTGAAGAGGGACATTTTCTTCTTCCCTTCCATTAACTACAATGGAAGAGAATCACTATGAGGCTAGCATGAGGCTACCATGGCATCATGGTGGCCTCCAGATGCATAGCCTTCCTCTGTCTCTGCCAGTAGGGCCACACTTATGCTCCTGCCTGTGGCCCCTTGGCTTTCTGGTAGGACTTGGACCATACCTTTTATTTATCTTCTGAGTAGTGTCAAGAAATCTTGGTTTAGCAGAATGGGAGAATGTATGCTCAGATCCACATGGGAAATGCCATGCTCAAACCTCAGCAGTTTATTGGCAGGTCACCCAGGAATCCCTCTGACAGAGACAAAAACAACAGCACTGCCAGGTAGTCAGTATACCTAACTGGCTACAAGCTTCCAGAGCACAGACAGTTTTTTATAAGTTGTGGGCCAGGTATACACTTTCAAGGCAGTGATAAAGTTCTGATTGGGTAAGAAGGTGAGGACCATGGGGAATAATACAGAAACACTGGGAAATCATTATAGGGATCAGAAAAAACATCATGATCCATTGAAGGCTTGAGTGACAGATAACAAAACAATTGGGAGTTGCAGAGATACAGAATTTCTTAAGACAAAGCATGAGCTTGCTAGGTATTTTTACATTGCAAAGGGAGCACTGTTTATGTTTCAGAGCTTGCCTTATCTGAAGAGCAGGTAGAGTATTAGCATAGCTTGGATCTGTTTTTCCTCTCCCCTCCAGAAAGGACTAGGAAGGAAAAACCCTGCAGATGGGGGAGTGAGGACACTGCTGCCAGATTTTATATTAAAATTTTGAGGATTTATTTGGACTTTCCAAACAGTAGGAAGTCTTAACTAATTATCTTAATACTGTCATTCTGGGCAAAAAGTCCTCTCAAGGAAGCTCACAATTAAAATAATAAAATAAACATATAGCAGACATAACTAAAATAGAAATAATTAAAAAAGCAAGCCAGAAACATTCATAAAATACATTTTTAGTGACCATTCAATCTGCGGTACAATGAGGGGGGCAGACCACCTGGATTTCATTAGTGCCCCCATTGATCATTCTAGCAGCTCTCAAACAATGTTTGTTCATGCAACTACCTCAGTTCATACTTCCTAACGTTTTCTTTTCAGTTCTCATATATCCTAAATTTAGTTTAGAAGTTATGTGTCAATCTTTAATTAAAAAGGTTGTAAGTAACTTTAAAACAGTAAAATACATAACAGCATAAAGAGTGCTAATGTTGCAGAAACAGTTAGGCATAGCAGAAAAACATCCAACAGAACCAGTAAAAGCATCTGTAGTAATAACATCAGTTAAAACAAGCTAAAAGAAAAATTCTGGAAGTCTGAATGAAAGCAAAACTATTCACTGGGGGATTGAATGATATCAGATTTTATGCCAGCTAAACTCACTCTCTGGGGGATGGCATTTAGAGTGCCACAAACAAGAACGCTTTCTCCTTCATCACTAAAAAGTTACTATAATGTTGTGTCCAGGAGATATCAATGGGATACACAGACATAACAAAAGGGACAAAAGAAGGCTTCTGATTACAAGACATTTCAGGTCCATTCTGGGCCCTAAGCTGTTTGGGACTTTAAAGGAGATGATTGTCATTATGAATTTCCCAGAAATCGATTGGCAGCTGTTGTTTAAGGTTTGATGAGATATGATGGCTATAACCAGTTCCAGTTATTAGTGGTGCTTTTAAATTAACTAAAACTTTCCAAGACCTCATCAGGGGCAGGCTCATGCACTGCACTTTGCAGATCTGTGCCCTGAATGGGCCATAGTTTGCACCCTAGCCTTTGCTTGTCTAGGGTGTATCTTACCATATGTGCTTATTAGGGTTTCCAGTGGCAATGCTGGCTCTATTAGCACCTCCAAGATACACACCTGGGAAACAATACTAGGATTGTGATTCTATTAATAAAAGCTCATTCACCACCTGCTCAGCTGAGCCTTAGTTTATTGGTCCGTATCTAGTCCATTATTGTTCATTTACAATTTAATTGACTATAATGAGAAATCAAGTTGCATTTTGTTCAGAATGAAAAAAATCCCTAGCATGTTTGAGGGAGACGTTAACATGAGAAAGCAGAATCTCATATCTATTTAAAAGTGAGTATCACTTCTTTGTTTAGTTAATCATGTGAATATGGTAAGAGGTGGACCTTTTCCTAGGCTCCAGCCACCTTAATAAAATGGCTACTTTTTCTCCTGAGAAGCTGAGACATTGAAAAGTACAAAGAACATTGTGGCTTTAGAAACATTAATTTAATAAATAACAAATGTATTATGGTGTAACCCTTTGTGGACTATACTCCTTGAAGTGGTCGTTGAGGAAATTTCAAAAACAGATTTCAAAACAAAACCAGTTGAACTGCAGTTTACAATAGGTTTAATTTGCCTCCTGTGGTTTGAACAAAAAATGTTTTTGTTGCTTTTTCCTGCATTTTTTCACTTCTTTTTTGAGATGAAACAAATTTGTGTTTATTTGGTTATGGATCTGTATGGCTTGGTTAGCCATACAAAATTTCTTAGGACCGCTCTGCAAGCTAGGCCACTGATTGTTCAAGCTTTGGGATCACTTTCACAGATGCCTCATGTGTACCTTGACTTTGGATTGTATGCTATATTCATGACTTCTCTGTTTTTCTAGCTAGTTGTACGTCTGCTTTAAAACCTAACAAGAATTTTAGTATTTCACATAAATCACCCTTTCACAGCTGATGTGTGTGTGTGTCTATACCTGTTTGTACTGAGAAATAAAA